AACAAACCAGCTGCTAATACCAGTATGCCAGAGAGAAACACTTGCATCTGGAAAACTCCAGTACTGACACTCAGTGATTCAGTGTCTCCTTAGCAACCACTTTGTACATGAGACATTAGTTTTTAAAATTATGTATTTCATGAATGAAGCATGTCTTGAAATTCTGTCATGACCTATAAGAACTGTCCTTCAGTGTTGCATGTTTCTAGTGGTTCAGCTGCATTGAATTTTGACAGATGTACAACTGTAGGTAGTAGGTTTTTGTATGTGGGTTTTTTTTCTTTGTTTTGTTTGTTTTTTAAGCATAAACAATGTTTTGGGATCTGTCCTACATAATTAGCTTTCTGATTAGTTTCTCAGTCCTAAGATTTATTTTAATTGTTCCCTTTGGTATTTCCTGAAGTGTTGAACAGTCGTACAACATAAATTTTAGGATTATTGGTTTGGAGCTGACCAAGTGCTGTGTATCTTTTTTGCAGGGTTCAAGTGGCATGTATTTCATTTGCACCGTTGCTGCGAAAAGTCTATCAGGAGAGGGATACTTTCTAAGATTTAGTAATGACTTTTTTGTCCTAGATCTGGGATCTCCCAAGACAGCTGGGTGTTCCCCTTTCTTTTTCTAATAGCTATTGATACTGTTAATAGAGTCAAAATTTTATTAGTGACAACTGACTACGCTGTGAAACACTTGGGGAGCTGCAGTCAAATGGACACTTTAAATGGGCTGTACTTTCTATACATTTGTTTAATCCAGTATCTCCAAAGATTCCTTCTTCAACACATGTTCTGTTATAAATCTAGTGTTGGAGGATCGTTAGTTTCTTTCTCCAACTGCCAGTTAGTCAAAGCTGCTGATAAGGAAGCAGTAGCTAAAGCAGAAGGTGGATTTATTTGACTTGTAAATCATGCTCCTTGTGATACTTCTCTGCAGTCTTCTCTCCTGAAGATACTGGTGAAAAATAAGAGAGGGTGAAAATCTAGGTGAAGATTTTTGTTTCCTTATCTTTGAGATTTCCTCTGCATACAAACACCTTGAGTGCTAAAAGGTTTTATTCTTACAGGCCTGACCCTTAGGACCAGCATGCATTAGAACTGCCATCCCTGGCTAACTTCTTAAACAGTCTTAAATCACAGCATGGTGGGAGAAGTGTATTTTTGTTGACCTATATAAAAGAGCTCTTGCTAAAGATATTTCGTCTTAGAAGGCCTCGGATACTCTATCTCCAAGATGTTCTGTAGCTAAAAATGAGCCTCTTGAAGGGAAAAAAAGGTCTTGGTGTAAATATTTTATTGATGTAATATAATATGGTTGGAAGTGAAGAAAGGGCAAAATCCTTGATGTTCGAACATCCCAGACCTTCAGTGATTGTTGGTCTTTTTTTCTTAATTATAATTTACACAAAATTATTTTTGTAATAAAGAGCTGACATGCAGTTAAATGCTACAAGGAATCCAGCTGACCTTTAAATATAGCTGATATTAAAAATCATGTGGAATGCTGTCCTTTCTAGAGGGGGAACCCAAAACGTTCTTAATCAACTAAATGCAAATCTTGCAGAACATTGTGTACGGCCATTTATTTATGCACCTACCATTTGTGAAGTGAGTTTTAATATGAAGGCTTGGTTTTTAAAGAAATGTGACTTCATGCAACTAAACTGAACAGTTTCTCTGATAGTGCTGGACCTGAAAATTCAAGTTTTATATCCCCCCTAAAAAAAAATAAAATAAGAGATTGCTGTTGGATTTTGCTTCTTACAGCAGCAACAACTGGAGACAAAAATTAATTTTGTTTAAAAATATATAAAAGAGACTTCTGACAAGTATTTTATAGAGCAGGTATTTATTGTATTGTAGTCCTATTCATAGCAGGATTTTTTTCCCCCCTACAAAATACTGTTTATGTCTTTTAAAACTTGTTAATTTTATGGATGTGGTGGTGTGGGTGCATTCTGACCTTGCAGTAACTGATTAGCTAGTACTAGAACTATTGGACAGGGACATGGATAAAAGAGAATATGTCCTGTTTGATCATTCGTTACTGTAGCTAAGCCTTTATGTTCTGATGTTACCATACACATATCAGTCTTTGTATCTTATATATATACAGTGGCTAAAAGGAAGAGTTTACGTTTCTCTCTTGTAAGGTTGGTGTAACTATTCTGTCTTAGATTCTTTTCTTAACACTTTAGACGTTCCTGTGAAGTGCAGATTAACTTGAATTTACACCTTACAACAATGACTAGTAAGCACTGCAGTGTTGTTATCTTCTGCTCTGTATTTCATTCTGATTCAAAATAATGCCTTTTTTAAATTTTACTTTTTTTTTAAAAGGAAGACAAAAATCATTTTATGATTCTTTCTTGATATTGTGCTGTCATTGCATGTATTTTTTTCTGCTCAGTAGTCCATCTTTACATGTTGCTCTGACTTCTTTGTCCTTTTGGACACCTTCCACTGTGTCTCTGATAATCACTGTACAGCATGTTATTGTGTCACCTTTGGAGCACAGTGCCACAAACCTGAACCTCTGTTGTATCCAGGGCCTTATGTCCCAGTGTTCCCTACCTCAGTTTCTAACTGTGGTGACTCTGTACCTGCCTGCATTCCTTGTGTGCTGTATTATCTATTGGTTGGGTTAGGTGCCTTGAAACCTTAAAATTTATGTTCAGAAGTGAATTTTAAATACTTCTTTTGCTTTTAATAATTGAAATGTGAGTCCTTTTTCATTAGGGTTGGGATCATTAGGAATGTCTTTGGTTCTTACGTGCTTTTTGGCATTGGAGGTGCAGCACTGAGTTTTGTTCTGGTTTTATTTTATTCCCCTGAGCTAAACTATTAGCATGAAGGCCTCTGTGCTGTTAGCATACACTGAACTACTGAACCCAGAAGAATTTAAACATCTCAGATGTCTCTGTGGTATTGTTCAGGATAGGATTTTGCATTATTTGTAATGGAGTTTAACTGCAGGCTGCCAGAAGGTGTGGTCTTGCTGGATTTAGTATTGTTTTATTTGAGTTCTGGGGTTTTTTTTCACAGTCAGAGGATGAACTAGATCAGCTTGTTGTTGCAAAATTAGTATTGTCTTTGTTATGCTCAATCTGATCTCTGAGCTGATCCAATTCACCCAGAGTGACCGGCAGCACAGTGTCAGTCAGGCTCAAGGGAGAGCCTGGGAGCACCCAAGCAGGTGCCACTTTCACAGCAGCCTCCAGCTGGACTGATTCAGGTGTTAATCAATAGGGATGTGCTGGTGTTTTCTAGCTGTCTTGTAGTTCCTGAGAAATTGTGTGGGTGTCTTATTTGAGATACTATTTTATTATGTAGATAATATCCAATAGAAATATCAACTAATATCCACTATTTACATTTAAGTATGGTAAATTTGTTGTGATGAGAAGTCTCTTATTGCTACTCTTTATCTTCCTTTTCCCCCATATTGATTGAATCAGTAAAATAGTGAGATTTCTTGCCTATACATATCCTGGGTTTATGCTGCTAATGCTTTAAATAATCCAGTGTTAACAAATCTCTTCTGACACTCTCATCCACATTTCTATAAAAAGTTATTTGCAGCCTATTGTTTTTTGTATTATTTCCTATTAAGTGTTTGAGGCCTGCTGCTTTGTTAGGAGCAGGCCATGTAAGCATGAAGGCTGAGGGACTACTGTGACAAGATGCTGGGACTGGACTGCTGTTGAAATTTGAACACTGTTTACTGACAGCGATTGCCCCTGCAAATAGTGTTTTCTGAAAACAAACCCGCTGCTTTTAAAGATTTTTCTAACAGCATTTCTTGAATGGTTAGCTGAAGAGTGATCTTTAAAAGATGTTTTATAGCCTGTAGCATCTGAGAAGGGTAGAGATCAGTGCTTTATGTGCTGTGGATCAAGAACGATAAGAATAATGTTTAATAATTTGAGAAGCATTTGATTTTTTGTTTTTCTGTATTTTTCTTTTTTTTTTTCCTTCCCCTCCTTCTCCAATCTGACTTGCTGGTCTTTCACTTTTGTTTCTGCAGGGGAAAGCTATGTATGTGGTTCCATAGAACCCTTCAAGAAACTGGAGTACACAAAGAATGTAAACCCCAACTGGTCTGTGAATGTTAAGACGACTTCTTCGTCTCGTTCAGTGCCATCTCTTGCCACTGCTAAAGGAGGTACTCCAGATGCAAAAGAGAATAAGGATTTCATTAGGCCTAAACTAGTCACTATCATCAGGAGCGGAGTGAAGCCACGTAAAGCAGTCCGGATTCTGCTCAACAAGAAGACAGCACATTCATTTGAACAGGTTCTTACTGATATAACTGATGCCATCAAGCTGGATTCAGGGGTGGTTAAACGCTTATACACACTAGATGGAAAACAGGTAAGAATTTTCATGATGGCCATTCTCAGCGTGAAGAAAATATAATTCACCAAAAGGAAAAGAGTAGTACATTAATGAAAAAATGCCTTTTCTCTAGAACATGCAATCAGGCCTTCTACTGCTTATAATATACTTAAGATCTGCAAGCAGCTCCGGAACATACCATGAAGCAATACTTGGCCTCAGTGATGCTCTTACCATTTATGATAAATGATAGCTTAAAATCTGTCAATTGAAAGTGTGATGTGGTTTTGGCTCTGTGTAAAGGAAGTCACTTTAAAAAAGCTCATTCTGTTAACTTGTTTCAGCCTTTTCTTGCAGGAGTTTTATGAGTCATTGTACTTGGCTTTCCATAAACTGTAAGAATAAACAGTGAGGACACATTCCACTGTGATAAATGCAAGCCTTCTGCTGTCCATAGTGACTAGATGATGAATCTTATTGTATCTAGAACGGACAATGAAGAAGGTGCAATGTTAGAAAATTAGTAAGCTTTTTTTCCCTTTTGCAGAAAACCAGGTAGGGTTATGTGTGGTACTCACATTTATTTTGAAATCTCTTGTAGGTTGCATTTCTTCTATGAAATACCCTCAAGCAGTGGCTCTTTTTTTGCTGACTTATTAAATTGCAGTAGAGTGAGATTTTTGAGTGGCTTCTTATTGAACTTGGGGATGGAGCGACACAAAAAATATTCCAGAGTAATCCTACTTCTTTTTTGTCTTTCACTTTATTTGTAATTTGGCTATGGACAAGTATTAATTATAGCAAAACTGGAGAAGCTGTTAACCTGGTGAAGGGCAAGGCTAATTTCAGCATGACCTGAATTGATTTAGAGCAATGGTGACTCTAGAGAAATAAGGCAGATATTTGCATTTACAGATGTAACTTATTAAACTGGAGAAATTGCAGAGGTGTAAAAATGTGGGTAGAAAGATGAGTGAACAGTCTCCCTGAGAAGCTTGAAGCTGCTAGAGACCACGATATTTCTGCTGTAATATAGCTGTGTTTTACAGATTCTAGGTTCAACGATTCACAGATATGCAGCAAACACTGTAGCTATCTGGAGATGCTGACAAATATGCTTGATACAGGTAAATGCTCAGCTAGAGCTGGTGGTATCCTAACATGTCTGCAGTTATTGCGGGTAATATGCAGCCATAGCTCTGAAAGCAGCTACCCTCTGATTTCAGAGAGGGCCATTTAATGGACAAGCTGCTTGTTCAGAGCACTCATTCAAACAGGTGCCAAGTCTGGCTTGACCAGAAGTCCCTTCTGTCTGCTGTTTTGTACCAGTAACCTCTGACACCAGTTACAGACAGCAGTTCAGTTCTTGATGCCTGCATACATGCCTGTAATGATCTCATTACTGTGACTTACTTGAGAACTTTGACCTGGAGGAAAATGTGGATGTGAAATTCTTGTTGTCTGCAGCAAAGGTAACGTGTATTGGGGGAAACTCTCAACTCCTGTCCTTCCTTACCTTGCTTTATGGTCCAGTGAGCACTAAGGCTCATAAATTTGAGCAATCAGTTGGGATTTTAAAGCTGCAGAGATCAGTGGTGGCCTCTGCTATGACATTGTCACAAGATCTTGACTATTCTGGTTCCGGCAAACCCTCATAAAAGGGATGCATATCTGTTTTGTATTGTGCATGTAAATGAACATGTGGTTTAGCTATCAAGTGCAGCCTGGAAGGATGCCAGTGTGGCCTAATATCAACTGGATACTGTGTTTACTTTTCTCTTTTTATATTCCAAACTCCCCTTTAATGGTTGTGCTTAAAACAAACACAAGCCCCCCAGCTTTACACCTGTTTTAGAACTCCAATTCCTGAACGTATATAGCGCTATCTTACCACTGGGGTGAAAGGGCAGACCAAGTTGTTTTCTTGGCTCTGATGTTGTCATAGTTCAGTTGAATCCTTTGTCAAGTCACAGGCTTTGAGATGAGTTTAAATCAGTGGTGTACTGGGACATTTGTTACCTGCCTCATAGCCTGAAACCCTTGTGTCTGAAAGCTCTCCCAGGAGACTACTGTCTTTGCACTCCTTCCCTTTTTGGCTATAAATGTGGAATTGTGTCGCTCGCTGCCTAACCCCACTGGTAAGGTCAGGGTTTTGGAGGAAGATGTGTGTGTCCTGCTGGTGTAACGGAGACTTTGCTCACTGCATGTACAAAGCTGCTTAGCTGGCAAAAAGGGAAATGAATGATCCAGTGCTCAGCAGGAGCAGCCTGTTGCTCACCTCTGTGTGGGGAAGTCATCGATTTCCTGTGCTGCTAGGCAATTGCTGCTCCATTTTTCTCTGCCAAAAGCCCCATCTCCCAGATGGCGTTGGGGGCATGATGATGGATTTCTTTATTGCTAAACTCAAGCTGTGAATTATTACTGGGAGGAAATCAATGGTGAATCCAAAATTTTTTCCAGTAGTGCTTATAGCTGGGAATTTCTACTGTGGCTCCTGCTGGAGCTTTGAAGGTTCTGGAAAAGCCTGTGTTCAGTGGCTAAATCTAACAAATCTGTGATTAAATCTTTCATCGCTAACTTAAAAAGCAATAAAATCTTAAAGCTCTGAGTCAAGAAAAGTAATTTACTGTAAGGATAAGAGAATAAAGCTCTCCTGGGATTATTCTTTGGGAATATAACTTGGAGAAAGGCTATTCTGTACAGTCATCTTTTGTGAGTTCTTTTATGAGGCCAACACTTTGCCCATCCATGGCAAAAATTGACATGAGTCCCCTGTATTGTTAGTGCAGGTGGACAATGCACTGTGTACTGTTGTTGGATACTATCATTAGATGCCTCAGCCTAATAAAGAGAAAGTAGTAGGAGTCAGAGTCTTAGCTGGGCATCTGGGTTAGGTGGTTGTCCCATACTGACATTACACACTGAGGAATTGAGGTTAAATGCTCTCCCTCCAATAGCCTTGTTAGTTGTGATGTTTTGATTTCTATCACTGGAAGAGATTAGTAAACACTATGTTCAGTTAAAAGGAATTTAAATGAATTTAAAACACAACAGCCAGTAAAATTTGATGACAATGTAAAGAGCTCATCTTGATGTAGGAGGTGGTTCTTGGACAACCAGAACCTGAGGAAAGTTGTGGTTGCTGGGAAGAAAGCTCTCCTGTGACACCCAGCTGATTCCTCAAAAATTCCGTATTGATTTTGGAAAATTCAGTCATTTTTGATGTACATAATGCTTTGTGAATGTTGCTTAGAACTCCAGGGGCTTGATTAAGTAGGTGTTGTAGTAGCCATTTGAATTTTTTAATGCTGGAATAGCAGATGAAAGGAGGGTACGGGAAACCAAAACAAAAAGAAAAAGAACAAACTAAACCTGCAAAAAAACCCAAGAAAACAATCCTCAAAAAACCCAAACCCCAAGAAATTTAGCCAGTCTTGTCTCACTGGGTTTGTGGCGGCTCAGGGTCTAAAACCTGATGTTTTCCAGTATTGGGTAGGTATTTACTTATGATTTCATGCATTTAATTTAGTTTTATTGAAATCTTTCTTGTTGTGACAAACAACATAAGTAGTGGTTTATTTGCATTTCCTTGCAGCACATCAGAATCTGTCTTTACCCTTCAAGGTTTCTGAAAAGTTAGAATGTAAAAGGGACACAATATACAACTGAAACCTGACCATAAAGCACATCAGTGACCTGCACTCACTGTACTCTTGGAGTTCAATTATTAATGATTTCTCAGAGAAGGATAGGTTTCATACCATGTCTAGAATAGTTTGTGTATTTTTGTGGATATACTTACATTTCTACTATGATAGATATCAGGCACTGATGCTGTTTGTACTGTAGAGAAGGAGATAGAATCACTTCCCTGTAACATGCTGGTGGATTTGAAGGTGGTGGGACTCTCAGAAGTGTTTAACAGTCTTATGAGCTCAGGACAAAATCAGAAGCTTTCCAAGGGGAGATCTTGAAGTGTTTTCCTTGCCAACTTTGCTGTGTAAGGGAAATAAAAATAGAATGAGTAGGTTTAATGGCTGCTTGTAGGAATACAGATAATGAGGACATGCTTTCACTATGAACATTACTCAGTCTTAGAATAAAAGGATGTTTAAGTGCATGAAAAGACATTGTCACTGTTGACCCTTAATATTATCACATAATTGTGAGAGAAGAAGCACTTTCTCATGACTAAAATAAGTCTTGGTTTACTGTAGCTGCACTGTTGCAGGTTGATTTCTAGCCTTTCCTTAACAGAAGCTGGCATTTTGAGTTGGATGTACATTAAAATATGGTTTTGTAAAAGGCAGCATGTGGACACACAATACAAACATCAAGGATACAAGGTGCATGTGGAGATGGAGCCTGGTTGCTGTTTTGCAAGCTCACTTTTCTGGTTTCTGTTTGCTTAGTGCTCTTCTAAAACACCACCAATGACTAAAATAGGAGAAAACTAATGAAGGTCACACTTAATAGCAAAAACATGGAAAAGTGCTGGTTTTAGAAGTGTTACGGTGTATTTGTGAGGGTATTTACAGTTTGCATGTTAGACGAAGACTAAAGGTTGTACAGTAGTGTTTTGTTACCTTGTAAGTCCTCTGTTTGCTTTTGGCAGAACAAACATCTGTTTTATATTGTAATGGGACCTACTTAATTGAACAGGTGGTTTGCTTAGCTTAACAAGATGCAACCATGAAAATTGTTTTGCAGTTTATGCATTATGCTGTCTTTTTGATGCCAGATAAATAAACAGTCAGTGGCAGAGATACCAGAATAAAGGTCACTATCTGATTTATTTTAATAAATACTTTATTGCAAATCAAATTACCTTTATAGATATGAAATACAGCCACGGTTACTTAAAGACGTACCTTACAGAAGTATGCATGAGGCAAATATGTCCCTCAATAATGTTCTTTTAAGCTGATAAAATAGCAATTAAAGACTTGTAGCTGCAAGGCAAGGGAACATTACAGTGCTGAAAACTTGAAGCCTCTTCATTGAGTGTGATGCTTTTGTTTTTTAGTGGAAACCCA